GCATCAGGCGGCTTCGAGCTCGACTACTGGATCAACAGATGTGGAGAGCCGCAACCACCTGCTGTGCCACTGAAAGGCGCACGCGACACTGACCTGCTGTTCAGCTGGAACGATCTGGCGGCAGCCATCTCCGAGATGAATGGACGCAAAGCGCCTGGCGACGACAGCATCCCTGCGTCGTTCTACAAGGCGTTTGACGCAAAGATCCCACCGGAGCTCCAGGGCCAGCGATCGGCAGCAGCCGGTATCTCGGGAGCAGCACAGGGGCTGATGCGTGTGTGCAACACCATCTTCGAGGACGCAGTCATTCCAAAGGCCTGGCAGTCGGCATCCATCGTCTCGCTGCCAAAGAAGGGCGATCTGAGCGATCCGTCCAACCATCGTGGCATCTCGCTGATCAATGTCGGCCTGAAAGTGCTGTGCAAAGCAGTGCACATGCGGCTCAACACATTCGTTGAAGCTAATAACCTCATAACGCACGAGCAAGCTGGCTTCCGTCGCGGTGAGGAGGCGGTAGCGCAGGTCTGTGCTCTCGTCGACATTATCCAGCGGCGGCGTGCACGCCAGCTGCCCACACACGCAGCATTCATTGACATCAAGAAGGCATTTGACACGGTGCCGATCGGCGCACTGCTGTGGAAGCTGCGCAAGATGGGCATCCCGCCACGCACATACGAGTTCCTCAAGGCACTCTACACATCATCCACTGCATGCGCACGATCAGGCAATGTGCTCTCTGAGCCGTTCAACGTCAGGCGAGGCGTCCGCCAAGGCTGCCCGCTGTCTGGCCTCTTGTTCAACCTGTTCCTCAACGACATACTCGATGGCATCCCTGAGATCAGCATCCCAGCCGTGGCTGATGGTCATGGCATCCGTGGGCTGATGTTTGCAGACGATGTGGTCATTCTCGCAGAGTCGCATGCAGCATTGGCAGCCGCTGTGGAAGTCGTGGCGGCATGGGCGGACAAGTGGCAGATGGCGTTTGGTGTCGACAAGTGCGGCATCATGGCGTTCTTCAAACCACCAACCAACAACGCAGGCAACGGCCCGCCGGACGTCGTCATCAAGCTGCATGGAGCGGCGGTGCCCGTGCTGACAGAGTACGAGTACCTCGGCGTCCTGATCGACCATGAGCTCACGCTCAAGCAGTGGATCAAGTCCAAGGCACAGTCCATACGCAAGGCGACCAGTGCGCTGCACCCGGTCTTGACCAACAGCAAGCTGTCGCTGCGCTATCGCCACTCCATCTACCTGGGATCCGTCCTTGGCATCGCCAACTACGGTCTCGAGCTGCTGGGCAGCGATGTGTCAGCACTAAACCCTCTGCAGACGGCTGTCAACCAGGGCGTCCGCAAGATGCTCGGCGCACCCATGTACACGCCCGTCGTCCCAATGCTGACAGAGTGCGGCATCCAAACCATGGTGGCCCGCAGTCTGGTCGCACGCATGCGCCTTCGTCTCAAGACGCCCAAGCTGAAGTCGGCACTCGGCCTGCTCTGCCCCGCACAGCCAGCACCCGTTGGTGGACGCCTCTGGTACTGGACACGCCGCTCGATCCAAATCTACAACCGCTACATGGCCACGCCCGGCCTGCCCGACGGCGATCCGGACAGCAAGCCCCGCCTCAAGGCATACGGCCTGGCTGTCACGCTCAAGTCTGCCAGCAAGTGCGACACGGCTGCCATCTACACTGCGTTCCAGATGCAGAAGACAGCCAATATCATACGAGATCCGGTCTTTGACCCGCGACGCTCGGAAGGTGCACGGTTCCTGATGCTTGCACGTGTGGGCGGCATCTACACGGCTCGCCGCGCTATCAACGCCAACCTGCTCGACCCAGCCCACCCGTTTGGTGACGGTTCATGCTGCATCATGTGTGGCGAGGATCTGGGAAGCACGCTGGAGATTGCGCACTTTGCGCTCGAGTGCACAGAGGAGCGGATCGTGGCTATCCGCACAGCGCACGGGCAGCGTGGCTTGGACGCACGGTTCGCAGCAGCACGCGCCATTGCAACGCACGAGAATGTGGGACACCCACAGATACGCGGCGATCTTGTACATATTGTTTCTGACGTGGTAAACTTGATGTGGGGGTTAGTCCTTGGCGGGACGTGGGGCGAAGCATTCAATGCGGAGCAGATGCGGAACTTCGAGGGTGATGGGTTGGCTATGGTGGGTTTAGCGGACTTCCTGCAAGCGTCTATTTGGGTGTACCGGTCTGAGCTCTGGGCACACAAACGGCGCGCTGTAGGGTAAGGGTACCTGTGGGATTTGCCAACGAGCCTATGCCATCACTGGTGGGGCGTGCTCTGCGAGCACTTGGAACGAAGCAGCCCGATCCACTATTCAACAAGAGGGAGGCACACTCGGCAGACCATGAACCAATGAATGCTCATCAAATCGATGCCATCTCACTTGACTCACAGCCAAGGTACATGGTGTTTCAGTCGACAAAATCGACAAGAAGGGGACAACGTGGCCGAGTGGTCTAAGGCGATTGACTAGAAATCAATTCTTCTCTGAAGGCGCAGGTTCAAATCCTGCCGTTGTCGCTCTCCTTTTGCCAATCTGCATCAAGATGCCATGGCCACACTTTTTTGACACTCTCTCCTTCCACGCCTGTCCCAGCGTCCCAGTCTCTCGTGTCCCGCGTCACGCTCTCTCGCACGCTTCAGCGGTCTCGGCCCTGTCGACGCGCGCTTCGTTTGGTGTTCTGTCCTGCACATTCCAGCCAACCGTCTCTGGACACTGCCTTGACAGCAATCGTGCGTGGCTGTCTGAGGAGGAATGCAGATCCTCCACTTGTTTGCCCAACATGGCATTGTCTGATGATGCTACTAATGCCATGGCTGCACAGCAATCCTGTCCAAGTGAATAGTGACCATCGCCAATAGATGCAGGGATGCAGCAAGTCGCACAGCAAGTCGCGCATGGCCGTCAGATTCAGCAAGATCGGCTTGTCCACTCTAAGCCGTTCAGTGTCAGGCGAGGCTGCCCGCTGTCTGGCCTCTTGTTCAACCTGTTCTTCAACGACATACTCGATGGCATCCCCGAGATCAGCATCCCAGCCATGGCTGACGGTCATGGCATCCGTGGGCTGATGTTTGCAGACAATGTGGTCATTCTTGCAGAGTCGCATGCAGCACTGGCAGCCGCTGTGCAAGTCGTGGCGGCATCGGCGGACAAGTGGCAGATGGCGTTTGGTGTCGACAAGTGCGGCATAAACATCTTCATTTCAACAGCCACTCTTGGCTGCCCGTTCATTGTCTGCTTGATGCTTGCAGTTCCTTGATTCTCGACTCGAGTCTCTCGATGGTGATGGCCTTGGTGGCAGTTCTTTGGTAGGCTTGGACAAGCAGCGACCATGCCCGGTCCAGCGTGAGGCTGCCAAAGAGGATATCGGCGATGGCGGCGTTCCTGGCGTATTCGAGTGCCCCGAGTTCAACCGCGTATCCGTAATCCATCAAGTACCGCACCATCTCCACCTTTCCCGCTCTAACTGCAGACTCAACAACATTGCTTGATGCACGGCCGCCCTTCGAGTGCATGTACTTGACGACGGCCAAGTGTCCCTTGATGATGGAGTCATCAAATGCGGCTGGCGTGCACTTTACATTGCAATTCTCGTAGAGCCAGATGAGGTCTTGAAGGCGGCCCTGGATTGCAGCAAATGACAGTGCATGATCTGTACAACCTTCCGTCCTGTTCTTGTGAAGCCACTTGACCACATGCATATGGTCGCTATGAGCCGCCCAATCCATGGCTCCAGTCGTGCATCCTTCCGTCCGGTTGGCATGCAGCCACTGAACCACATGCAGGTGGCCGTTGGCAGCCGCATAATCCATTGCCTTTGTCGTGCATCCCGTCACACCGAGATCAAACAAGTACTGCACAACGTCCAGATATCCTTGGCTTGCTGCGTGATCAACTACACTGTGCCAGTACGAGCTTGTACGATCTTGCTTGGCCATCCAGTCTTGGAGTGTCTTGTACTTGTCGTCGAGATGCTTGAGCAGATCGAGGCAGCCAAAGCGGATCGACATGCGAGCGAGCGTGATCGGATACGTAAAGTCGACCAGATCGAACCAGCCGTGCCGCATGGGAATGAGAAGCAGGCGGCTGCTGTCAAAAAGAGTGACATCGAACGATAAGTCGTAGTTGTTGTACCGTGCGTCTTTGCTCGCATGGAAGCGCTCGGTGTACTGCGGAAAGCGCTTGCAGAGACGGTTGTACATGGAGCGAGAGTGTGCGAGGAGCAGCCCGTTGCTGTCCTTCAGCCAAACGAAAGGCAGCAGCGCCAGATCGCCCTGCCAGTCTATCTTGAACGCATCGGTCCACAGCTGCAGCTTGGTCCAGTGGTCGAGTTTGTCCTTGTCGTCGAGCAGGCCGCACAGGAAGCGAGTGAGCGGACCGGCGTGCTTGAGGATCATGGCATGGATCTCGGCGGGCTTGCCGTCCCAGTGGCTGCTGCCGTATGCGAGGTCGCCGGCGGCTGGCGGCACCACATAGCGAGGCACCCCTGGCTGTGCGGTGTTGCTGCTGGGCTGTCCTGTCTTCCTGGTTCGACGGCTTGGCTGCCACTCGCTCCAACGACCTGCTCGGCTGTGCCCTGCAGCTGGCTCTGCAGATGGCTCACTTGGTCGTCGCTGGTTGCTGCTGCTGCGTCTGCGTTGTTGGTCGCCTGTGTCGTCATCGCCACAGCCGCTTGCTCTCTTTGTGGCTGTGAAGACAAGATCCACTCGACGCGATCGTCCAACAAGTGCCATTGCAACACATGGGAATGTGGGACATGCACCGACACGCCATGCCATGGTGCACAGTGTGGCTGGTGGGGCGTGCTCTGCGAGCACTTGGAACGAAGCAGCCTGATCCACTATTCAACAAGAGGGAGGCACACTCGGCAGACCATGAACCAATGAATGCTCATCAAATCGATGCCATCTCACTTGACTCACAGCCAAGGTACATGGTGTTTCAGTCGACAAAATCGACAAGAAGGGGACAACGTGGCCGAGTGGTCTAAGGCGATTGACTAGAAATCAATTCTTCTCTGAAGGCGCAGGTTCAAATCCTGCCGTTGTCGCTCTCCTTTTGCCAATCTGCATCAAGATGCCATGGCCACACTTTTTTGACACTCTCTCCTTCCACGCCTGTCCCAGCGTCCCAGTCTCTCGTGTCCCGCGTCACCCTCTCTCGCACCTTCAGCGGTCTCGGCCCTGTCGACGCGCGCTTCGTTTGGTGTTCTGTCCTGCACATTCCAGCCGACCGTCTCTGGACGTTGCCTTGACAGCAATCGTGCGTGGCTGTCTGAGGAGGAATGCAGATCCTCCACTTGTTTGCCCAACATGGCATTGTCTGATGATGCTACTAATGCCATGGCTGCACAGCAATCCAGTCCAAGTGAATAGTGGCCATCGCCAGGAGATGCAGGGATGCAGTCGCGCTGCAGCAAGTCGCGCATGGCCGTAAGATTCGGTGGTGGTAGTGGACTCATTTCAAAGTTTAGAAGAGAGCATCATTCAGCTGCAGCGAATGGAACAGGAATGGTGCCGTTGTTCCAGACTCCACGATGGTCATGAGTGCCAGTGCGCAAAACATTGATCGTGTCCCCAACACGCACAGTGCCGTCAATAACGAGATGAGTGACGTTGACGCCAACACACGACTCGTACTTTGCGCCAGGGTCAACGCGACGATAGGACTGCAGCATGCGAGTCGGCTCTTTGCCCATGATGCCTGTTTCAGGGTTGACAGACGGTACAGTGCAGCGGGTACAGCGCGATGCAATGACAAACGGAAGCGCCGAATCGCCGTCGCCAATGGTCATTTCCATCCAGGTGTCCTCGATGAAAGGGACAGCATGTGCGGCGGACGACGCCTTGATGATGATGTTGGGTCTAAAGTTGAGAACCGACACACGTGTGGGGTCGTTCTTTGAGACGAGATGCTCGTTGACATCTGCGATGGACTCTTCGCTCAGCATGAGGAAAGGGAATCCGTCGGCAAAGGCCGTCTGTCATGGCAGACAGTTGATGAGTGCCGGATGCTGTGATGAATCAGCACGACATGAGCGGCGGGCAAGTTCCAAACCTGAGGGACGATGCCTGGGCCAAACTTGGCCAGCGACGGTGTGTGCTTTGTGCCCAAACCACGCACGATCGAAGGATGCTTGGCAAAGAGACGGACAGGAGTGCCGAGAGCGGCCGAGAGCCAGTCGGCGGCCTCGTCGCCCTCGTCGACACCGGCAACGGGCTTGCCGTGCACGCTGATGAACACAGGGCGAGACGCAGCCAAGTCTGCCTTCGAGCGGACAGGCACGACGAGCGGCAGATCCGGCGACGCAGGGTCCGACAGACGCAAGACAGCGGCCGTGTCGTAGGGTCTCACGTCGATGGTGACGGGGGCAGCGACGCTTGGCGAAGACGCCGGGACTGCAGCGGGCACGCCGGCACGGGAGAGGGACGGACGCAGAAGGGCCATGCGAGGGACCTGTCTCTGCGAGCACAGCGTAAAGGTCGGGGCCTGCGGGTCGATGGCAGCATCGGCAGTCTCTGGCCCGCTGTTGGTGCGGGGAATCTCCGAGGCGAGCATCCAGAAGCGGTCCCACTCGAAGCCATCTGCAGCAGGCGAGGTGGGGGGAGCAGGCGGGTGAGGGGCGGGACGGGAGGGCAGGGGAGCAGGCGGAAACGAGCCGGACCCACACTCGTTGAGTCTGGCCGCCGACAGCGAAAGCGGCGCGCAGCCCTTGACGGGAAACACGAGCAGCGACGACACGGCGTGCGTTGCCATGGACAGCGGACGGAGGGATGCACGGTGGATGCACGGCAGATCGCGCCGTGCACCGATGCCCGTCATGTGACCTCACGTGCCGTGTGGCCACTCTTGGATGCGACGAGAAGGGGTCAAAGTTTTCCTCGCGATCACACACACGCATCACACACACACCCACATGGCAAAGGTCATTGTTGTTGGCGGCGGTCTCGCCGGTCTCTCTGCTGCGCACACCGTGCTTGAGCGCGGCGGCAACGTGCTGCTGCTCGACAAGAACCCGTTCCTTGGAGGTGCGGCTGTCTCACGCCTGTCTCACGCCTGTCTCACGCCTGTCTCATGCCTGCCTGTGCACCCGTCTCACACCCTTGCACGTCTGCCTGCCTGCCTTCCCTGCACGCCAACCCCACACCGCACCACGCTCGTCCCCGCCACCGCGGCATCTGTCGTGTGCCACCTTGAACGCTCGCTGCTGCCTGCACCCGCCAGGCAACTCGACCAAGGCCACGTCCGGCATCAACGGCGCCGGCACCACCACCCAGGCTGCCCTCGGCATCCCCGTAAGTGCCGCACACCCTTGCCCTGCACATCTGCCTGCCTGCCTGCCTGCCTGCCTGCCTGCTTGCTTGCTTCCCCCCGCCTTGTCAGCGTGTGTCACACGCCCCCCACTCCCACGTGGTTCGTTTGCCTTGTGCTGTCAGCTGCCCTGCCGACCGTGCCGGCCGTGCCTGCATGTCTCGGCCTGCCTTCCACAAGCACGTGCGGGCTCTCTCTTCGGGCGTCTCGTCGCTCGTCCTCTCCTGTCTGCCCTTGCCTGTCCGCCCTTGCCTGTCTGCCCTTGCCTGCCCTTGCCTACCCACCTCCTTCAACGCTCGCTTCCCCCACCTTCCCTTCCACCAATGCGCAATCACATCTGGCCCATCTCCGATCCTCCCCACCTCCGACGCTGCTCGTGTGCAGATCGCCCTGACCCACCGACTGCGGCTTCGGATCTCTTGCTGACCTGACCCCCAACGCTGGACGTGTTCCCTCGTACAACCCTTTACAGGACACTGCCCAGATCTTCTACGAGGACTCGGCCCGCTCGGCCCGTGCCGAGATCGTCCCTGCCCTCACCAAGGTGCTCACCTACCAGTCCGCCTCGGCCGTTGACTGGATCCAGGACAAGTTCAAGGTCGACCTCTCGCTCGTGTCGCGTCTTGGTGGCCACTCGCAGCCCCGCACCCACCGTGGCAAGGAGCAGTTCCCCGGCATGACCATCACCTACGCCCTCATGGAGACGCTCGAGGACTTTGCCAAGGCACAGCCCAACCGCGCCAAGATTATCAAGAAGGCCCGCGTCACGCGTCTGATCATGGACGGCTCCGCCGTTGTTGGTGTCGAGTACGTCAACAAGGAGGGCAAGACCATCACCGAGCACGGCCCCACGGTCCTCGCCACCGGTGGCTACGCTGCCGACTTCTCGGACACGTCGCTGCTCAAGAAGTACCGCCCCGAGCTCTGGGACCTGCCCACCACCAACGGCGACCACTGCACTGGTGACGGCATCAAGATGACCACCGCTGTTGGCGGCAACACCATCCACATGGACAAGGTCCAGGTCCACCCCACTGGCCTTCTCGACCCCGCCGAGCCCGACGCAAAGGTCAAGTTCCTTGCTGCCGAGGCTCTCCGCGGTGTCGGCGGTCTTCTCCTCGACGTCAACGGCAACCGCTTCGCCGACGAGCTTGGCCACCGCGACTACGTCACCGGCCAGATGTGGAAGAACAAGGGTCCCTTCCGTCTGGTGCTCAACGGCAAGGCCGGCAAGGAGATTGAGTGGCACTGCAAGCACTACATGGGCCGCGGCCTCATGAAGCACTACAAGTCGGCTGCTGCCTTTGCCCAGGACGCCGGCATTCCTCTCAAGAACATCGAGACCACCTTCTCGACGTACAACGCCATTGCCAAGAGCAAGAACGATCCCTTTGGCAAGAAGTTCTTCCACAACGCTCCGTTTGTCCTCGACGACGAGTTCTGGGTCGCCATTGTCGTCCCCGTCCTCCACTTCACCATGGGCGGTGTCCAGATCGACGACCAGTCGCGTGCCCTCAGCCCCAACGGCCCCATCCCCGGTCTCTTTGCCTGCGGTGAGATGGCTGGCGGTGTGCACGGCGCCAACCGTCTTGGTGGCTCCTCGCTCCTCGGTTGTGTCGTCTACGGTCGTGTTGCCGGTGCCTCTGCTGCTGCCTACCAGCTTAGCCAGCTCACTGCCCAGCGCCGTCTTGGTGCCGTCACCGGCCACCTTGCCCCCGTCACCATCTCGGTTGGTGGTGTCAATGTGACGGTTGCCTATGGCGAGGGCGGTGCTCCTGCTGCTGCCGTTGCCGCTGCCCCCGCTGCCGAGGAGGCTGCCCCTGCTGCTGCTGCCGCCGCTGCTGCTCCTGCTGGCAAGCGCGAGATCTCCCTCGAGGAGGTTGCCAAGCACAAGACCGAGAAGGACTGCTGGGTCGTTGTCAACGGCCAGGTTCTCGACGTGACCAACTTCCTTGCCGACCACCCCGGTGGCAAGAAGGCCATCATGATCTACGCTGGCCGCGACGCGACCGAGGAGTTCAACATGATGCACAAGCCCGAGGTTGTTGAAAAGTACGCACCCGAGACCGTCATTGGCGTGCTCAAGAAGTAAACATGCCGTCTGCCTGCGACCCCAAGCACACAACCCTGCAACCTCCACACAACAGCAATGAAATCTGATGCGCATTCATACCACCATCTCTTGGTTGATCCGCCGCCAACAGCAGCAGCTGGTTGGTGCTGTTCGTGCCGGTGCTGTCCACGTTTCTTGCGCTGGCTGGCCGTCACGGCACTTGTCGCAGTCGCCGTTGTTGTTGCTGACAGCCGCCGCTTGCTGGGCTGTCACGGCCACAGCCGCCACTAATCGCATCAATCTGATCAGTGACGGCAGCCTGAGTCATCGTGGTTCACGTCGTCGCCTCCATCTCAGCCCAGCACCTACAAAGGCGAGCCATTCACCTGCACAACAACCACCACCACAACAGCCACCACAACAACCACCACGACCACCACAACCACCACCATGACTCAACTTAAGACTGGCTGGGAGATTCAGTCGCTCGGCGCTGCCACTCTCCCGTCGCCCATTCCGTCGGTCAAGTTCACAACCGACGATGACGTGCTGCTGCTCAACCCCACCGTGTCGTCGGCATCTGGCTCGCCTGTTGCGGGCAGCTCGGCCAGGTGAGTTGCACCGCTCCGCAAGCCAGTGCTCCTCCACTCACCCCACCATCTGACGCCGGCTGGCCGTTTCTCTGG